ATATGTAAGAAGTAGAAGTAAAAAGTAGGCTGAAAAATAATTACTCAAGTAAAGTACAGATACACAAAAATTCTACTTAAATACAGTAAGAAAGTATTTAGTTATTTAACAACTCTGACATTCAGGCTGCAGCAGTCAGACAGACGATCATTTTGACCCTGTTGGGGACAAAGTTTGGGCACTCCTGGTTTAGAAATGTTTACTAAAAATCCAAACTGGTTCTGACAGAATTATCTGCTGCAGAGGATTTATTATTTTTAAAACGTTTACCAAATGAAAAAGAGAAAAAGTTAAATTGTTTTCATCAGATCAGATGATAACTTGTTATGAATAAATAACTCGTATTAATTTGATCTAAACCGTTAGTATTACAGTTTGAAGAAAAGAAAAGAAGCAGATTGTTTTTCTTCCACCTTCAGACAGATGTTGTCAGTGTTGTACAGTTGTGTAACATTAGTGTGTGTCTGTGTGTGTGTGTGCTTCCTGCATCGTACCTTCACTGCTTTCTTTTGGAGCACATCCAGCTGGTCAGAAGTGTAGCCGCTGACTGAGCCGAGGACTTCCACCGTGGTCTGAAATGTGCTGTTGGACATCATGTCCAGCTGTGCTGCTGTCCAGTACACATTATCCAGGCCCAGTTCTTGGATCTGTGCTGGACTGGGTTCTGTGGTGCTGATGGAACTGCTGCTCACAGCTGACAGAACAGGTGGACGCAGGTGTGTGAACATAATCATTAACAGGTATTATTACAGTATTTATTCAGTTCATTTTAAAAACAAAACATTACAAATCAAATCAAATAAAAGACAGCAGAAGAAAAAAATCTTATATCTGCTCCTATTTACAAAAAAATATATTAATTTAAACAATAATAAAACAAAAAATTCAACGCTTCAAACAGTGACTCATACAAATGAAATAATTTCATATTTCTTTAACAATTTAGCTTTGATCATTTCTTGAAGGAATCAATTGATCCAATTATGACCCGTCACATTTAAACCAGGATTAAGTCTAAAAGTGGTTTAAGGAGAAAAAGGCAAATATAGTGTTTTGACTAAAATGTTAACAAAAATTGCATTTTGTCAAAACATAATGAATAAAATCCTTATTAATGTATTATTTCAATGAACTGTCTGAAATATAATCATAAAACTAAAATTTGAAGCACTTTTTTGAGCAGTAGCAACAAAAAACTGATTTTGAGGAAAAATACCTTAAAATGTTGAGATTTTCCCTGTGAGTTAGTAAAGTTTGTTTCTTTTTATCTGGTAAATCTCAATATTCAAATATAATTTGAGGTTTCCTCTTTATAAGGACATCAAAAATTCCTCATTAAAATGAGATAAAATTAGGATTCAGACCAAATATTTATGTATTATTGTAACCAACAAGACAAATTAAGTCATACAGCGGGTAAAATAAGTATTGAATACGTCACCATTTTTCTCAGTAAATATATTACTAGAGGTGCTAATG